CGGTTTAAGCCGGCCACGGGGGGGGGACCGCGCCAGCTCAATGCTCGCATGATGGCCTTCAAAAGACTCATATGGGTTGAAGCAAGCTTGCACGGCTTGCCCCCCCCCCCAACTCCTTCTGTCTTTGTATATTGTGTGATTTCATTCTTTGTTTCTTTCTCTCTTTCTCTCATTCTACTTTCCTGTGACTATCTCAAGTGTTTCAAACTATATGTCATCTACGTTCTTCGTCCTGTCCGTACCATCTTCCCTTCAATTTCCATGAAAACAAAGAGAACATAGACGTTTTCCTATGACAACATAGAGAAAATAGCTGAAAATAAACGTTTTTCTATTAAATATATTTGGAAATTTGGGTTTTCCTATGAAAATATACCGAAAGTAAAGGTTTTCCTGTGGAAATACAGAGAAACACACCCCCTCACAAAAAAAAAAATATTAAACATAAATGGCCAAAAACAGTGGGTCCCCTGGTGGTGGTGGTGGTGGTGGTGCTGCTGGTGGTGGTGGTGGGGGTGGTGGTGGCCGTGGCGGGGTGGTGGCGGGGGGGACGTGGCGGTGGATGGTATCCCCATCGAACCAGTAGATAGTCTACTGAAAGTCGTGATGATGACAGAAAACAATGCTGAGGGTTTAATAAACAGATTGGGGGTCGGGAAACCGTCATAGCCCTCACTGACTCTTGGCAGCATCGAAACAGCCAGCATCATCCAGGCACTACAGACCTCTGCAGCTCGCCAAGCAGGCGGCGATGGGCCTGTGCCAAACAGAGTAAGACACAAGCCTTCCATCTGCAATCGTGCCTGAGCCTGATGAAAGCTAGGTCCGGATGGACGCTACTCCGCTACTTTAAGGGCCGTTCAGCTTGTTCGCCTGCCGGTTTTTTGGCAGCGCTGGCCACAGCAGCTGAAAATGTGAAGAGCCGCCATGGCCTTCGAGGCCTGCCCGATCATAGGGGGGCTCGGGTGGCAGTGACGCACTTGCTTCCCCCTCAGATCTGACCTTGCAGAATTACGGGCAGAGTTCTGGCTTCAGACCCGCAGCACAGACTGACCCAGCACACCTGCTCATCAGCGCTCCCCATCCCCCCTTGCTCAAGTCTATTCTGCAAGCTAGATGGTAGCATTAAGGTGCTTGCCTTTTCCTTTCAGCATTGGGTGGAGGTCAAGCCGGGTTGCGTGTTGAAGGTTGAGTCATTGAGGGGCCTAGTGCTGTAAAGACTAAGGCAAACGTCAGGATGCGTTGACTCGCCAGCTGCAACAGCACATGGTACATGGTAAACTACTTCCCCAAGCTTCAGCCAAGGTTGTTGCAGCAGCCGGCAAATGAAAACTTTCCCATGTTGAGTGGCATGCATTAGCATGCATCTGTTACTCAAGCCCACCGCATTGGAATCCGTCGAGAGCACTTCCACCAAGCAAGCACAAGATCAACACGAAGAAACAATATGAGGCGACTGATTCACAAAGAAAGTGAGACGACGTGATCAAATCCTAACATGAAGACCCACTGCAGGATACTGTAGTTTATACATTCCGAGAGCGTGCCCTAAGTGCGACGTCGAGGCTTCGCACCGGTGGGGTTTGGAGTGCACACAAGCAGTTTGATGCTCGTCTTGTCTTAAGAATCGTTGGAGGATGTTGGAGGTGTCGGAAGCCTTGAAGACGCATCCTCTTCACTTCGGAGAGGGCAACCTCACTGACTAACCGCCGGGCCCTTGCACGGCAGGCGAATTATGGACCGCGGCTAAGGCGGACCAATAAAGAAGCTCTGCAGGTGCCAAGTCCAGAATAGGGAACAATCATGCCTAAGAGAAAGACAACGGTAGATACAAATGTAAATCTGTGACTCCGGACAAGGCGAACCATTGCGACTGCCTCTAGCAACAAAGACATTACACTGTGGCAGCCCGGCACAATCGCTCTGCCACCAGTCTGTACATTCCAGGCCACACAGATGGACGAAGGGCTATCCAGGACTCCTCCACCCTGAAGACACTCACAGGTCAGCGAAGCTTACATCGAACGGAATACTCGGATGTCAAAGGACAGTACATATCGCCTCTATGACTTCTCTCAAGAACAATCGGCGAGGTGCTTGTCCACGCTTACGGCGGACGAAAGCCACACGAATACGTGCTGCTCAGCGCCTCTCCGCCTGCACCGAAATACGGCAATGAGTTTAAGCATCTTTGCAGCTAGTTTGTGCTGTTAAAAAGCCGGGAGTCTGCCGGTGCGGCTCACCTGCAACATCCTGCAACCCTGCAGCACGCCCAGTATCTGCATCTCACGTGTCAAGATCCGGGGAGCGAGCCTCTCGCAACCGTCCTGCCCTCAACTGGGGCACTACGATGCCCGCTGTGTACGGTTCGAGGGCAGGACGCGGCCTTGGAGCGACCATGAGCGAGTCAAGTCTTGTCGCTCCGAGTTGTGATCTTAGCGGCTTGCAACGATGCAGCTGTAAACGCAATACTGATGATATCTGATGATGCACTGACATGCATAAGGGAAGCAGCGAATCCGGATGACGACGGCCTATCAGAGTTTACCACATATTTGCCCAGCAGCGTCTTCGACTGACCTTGTAGAGTCGTCCCTTGCATGAGCAAGCATTTATACATGGACCCTTCGCAAAACAAGTCAACCCAGTCTCGGCTGCACAAGCCTTCACAATCTCTCATTCGGTGCGTCTAAACTGATCTAGACCCTCCGACAGGTGAGAAACCACGGGACCCTTAATTGTGCCGGAGGCTCCAGGAGGCCCTTCTCCATCTCCTTTTAAGTGGCGGCGTTGCTTCTGGAGTTTCAGAAAAGTGAAGCGAGGAATGTCCCACCTCTGCGCCGAGGCCGCCGTCGCCCAGACCGCCCACTTTGCGCGCGCCTTTGGTCGTAGGTAGACAAGATGCAGCAAACCCTGTCAAGGACAGATGCTCGTTGAGTCTTCATCTGTTGGGCGAGGCCGCCTTCACTGCAGCAGCAGAGGAGATTCTCCGTGCAGTCCCGTGCCATTTTCATGGAGCAGGTGCAGGTGGGCATCCAGCCTCGCTGCAGGCTTTGCTACGCCATGCTGACCATGCAGAGCTTTCAAGCTCCAGACAGCGAGCACATCACTGGTAGGCATAGACTCGACGGTTTGTCAGAATCATACTTGCGTGATCTGAGTGAGGGGCATCGGTTCGTTGCTTGAAATACAGGCTCCAGTGCATGATCCATGCCGCGGAGAGTTCCTACTAGAACACATCCGATGCCAATGCACTCCAATCCGGGACTCGGCTGTGCATTCGTTGCAGCGCCTCACCTAGAAGCTCACACATGCAGGCCCAGGACACCCAAAACATGTCCTTCTCTATGAAACTGTGAAGATGCCCGAAACCAACCACCCACCAATGCGGCCTTGAGCTGAATTTGGAGCTGCCTGGACCAGGGAGAACACCCAGCAGGACATTGCAATGCTCTCTTCTGGAAGCTTCCTGAATTCCTGTGCTGATTCAGGGGCTGAGGTGTGTAAACACATTGGCAGTTGCAGCTTCTTTAGGTCGATTACTTGGCCGGGAGCGCATCATGGGCTTCCACTAGCTGCTTTCATTTTCGGTGTTTATATATGAGTGAGTGTGTGAGTGATTTGTTCGATGCGGTACTCGATACCTACTGCACTGCAGAAATATCTACAAGTAGGTCTGACACAACACATGCTGCTGCGAGAGAAGTATTTGGGCCTGTACACATGGGCCTCACAGAGGAATGCAAAGTTGACTTTGCTGATGGGTTTTCGCATGGTTCCTTCACCCATGCACTTCGATGTTGTTCAGCTTTGCCTCACCGCGGGGAAGACAAAACAGAACTGGAACTGACGGGATTGTGAGGATTTTGGGCATGGGGTTGACCCCGAGCTGCAGTCGCAGACGATAATGCGGGCCCTGCAGCGTAATGGTTAAGGATTTAGGTCTGACAGTTCAGGATGTGGTCTTCGAAACTAGAGGGTTCATGTTCAGGGCTTCAACCTTCTGACTGAAGTACGATTCTTCGTATCTTATGACACCGCCCTGTTCCACGCACCCGCTGGCCCAGGGCCATGAGTAAGGAAGCGCTCTTCGGAGCAAAATCCCTGACGAGGTACAATTTGGGTACAGGTGCGGGATCGCACGCTCCAATGAACCCGTCGTCGTTTGCACAGCACAGATGCCATGTTGACAAATGCACCCGACTTCGACAAGGGGAAGTAGCAAACGGCGAACTGAAACCAAGCGAGCAAATATGCCAAACAAGCCCTAGGCCCTAGAATCCTACTGTAGAAGTGCGTGGCCTCAGGCATTTGCTCCATCGTCGCCTCAGAGATCCAAATCCAGAATCGAGCAGCGAAGCGTTGAAAAAAATATGACAGCTTCCATGGCAGATTGTGCATCCTCTTCGTCCACAAAGCCATGAACGCTAAAGGATATCTTTGGGGAAGCGGCTTGGCCCATCTGCATCTCCGGTGCCTTGCCAGACAAACGCTGCGGCAACCGTTTGAGACGTGCAGCTTGTGGGCTCCGAAACTGCCTCGCGATGCCTCAAGCCTTAAGGGACCCCAGTAGGGTTGAAGTGTCCACTGCAGGCCCTGGAGGCCAAATTGCACAAAAGCCAAGCGCCGAAATTCCGAAAGGAATCCCAAGGCTCGGGCACCAGCCGAGCTCTGCATCGGGTCCTGGCGAGGCTGCTCCTGCCATGCAGCACTTTTCACTACTTCGAGTATTGCATGTATTGCAAGAGGTGCTGCGAGATCGAACACGAAGTGACTCTTTAATCCACCATCGCAAGACTTGAATTCTACGCTCTCGGTCTTGCTGCGCACCTTGTGATGGTGCCGGCGTGCCTTGCCAGGGAAACCCGGCACAACGTGCTTGGGGCCCAGCCGGCGGACAGATGATCCAAGAGAAGATCCGCTGCGCTGGATGGTCCCATGGTATCAGTATACTTACGATGCTGTGCCTTGGCCTTGGGCTTCTTGTGCTTGTCTGATGCCCGGTGCAAGGACACCTCGGGAGTCGGAAAGCGCTGCAGTAGCACATGAGATGATCCTTCGCTACAAGCAGGAAGACTGTCTTCGTCTGCATGCCCACCTTTTAAACTTAACACTCTACTTCGAGAAAGTCTAGGAAGATCGTGAGAGCACGTCCGCGTTGGCTTCTTGGAAAGCCGAGTTGCCCGAGGCGAAGCTGCCTCTCGGGTTCGAGTGAAGATCACAAGCCACTGGTCACACGCAGCCCTGAATCAGAAAACACGCAGCTACCCCCAAACCCAATGAACTCGTCAGGCAGTAGTTCGCACGGGTACTGACGTGCAACATTTGCACACACACACACACATATATATATATATGCAGACATCTCCAACACCTGTGCCCATTGGAAGCGGTTTCATTAGGGAGTCCACTTTTAGAGGCCCCAGAATCCGACTGCATCGAGGGAAGAGGCGAGGCGAAGTTTCAAGGTGTTTGGCACGCACAGTCGCAGGTGAATAGGCATGTCTGGCATCGATAGCTTGCGGGCCTACAGTAAACCACCAAACCTTAGGGTTGCAAGATGTTGCAAGGCCCCGGGAACAGTTGACAGCCTAACGTCTCTGCCTGCAGCGAAGTCGTAGGCGTAGGCAAAGATACAGTTACAGCCACAGTCTCAACTCGTCTTGGATTCTGGCCTGAATCTCAATAGCTCTCATGGCAGCCGCGCTTTCGAGGTCCACGCACGCTAAGCTGTCCTGGCCATGCACTGCACCATTAAGTGACACATGGCGAGCACCAGGCGACGTCCGTAGCTTCGGGCCTTGTCATCGAAATCATCCTCCGAGCTTGAGGAGCTCTCGCTGTCCGACTCGAACTCCTGAAGCCACCGATACGGAGAGGCAGAAAAAGAAGGGTCTGAAAGCTGCGCACCGTGCAACTTATCGCAGCAGCAGGTCAACCTTCAAACAATAAGCAAAGAACTTGAAGCCAAGAATCCAAGAACTTCGCAACAGGATAAGCTCACTTCTGCACAATCGAACCTACTCGCGTCCGCAGGATCTATAGGGGCTCTTCAGCTCCTTATCGCTTTCCGTCGCCGATGGCGTGTCCCACGCCCTCTCCGGCCGCCTTGGTGAGTCAGACAAAGCCCCGCTTGGGACAGGAAGGTCATGGCAACCCGTGAAGCTGAGGCGTGAAGCCGACAGTGACTATTCAGGACACATCAGTCACAAGTTGGGGGACAGCACTTGGTGTGTTGAGGAGAGCGGCGCATGCCTGAAAGTCCGAACCCAAGCAAATTCCACACGCAACCCTTATGCGCAAGTGGCTGAGCTGGCTCGCGCAGATCTGCTAGCTGTTGAGGAAAGCGTGCCAGGCCGTGCGGGTTCGTCTCTGCAATCGAAAAACACTGAGGCAAGGTCCACCGAGGCTTACGCATCGGCTGCCCGTCCGTATTGTAGCCTTGATTTTCGTCACATCCCCATAGCGCAAAGGGACACAGTCTGTTCCACTCCCTAAACCCTAAACCCTAAACCCCAAACCCTAAACCCTAAAACCCTAAACCCTAAAAGGCCCTAAACCCTAATCAACAGACTTTGGTTTTTTCATGTCTGGCTCTGCGTAGGCCATGCGGCTTCTGGGAGCCGGGGAGCGGAGCACCGCTGAAAAGGAGCCCTCAAGCCAAAAAACTGCTTCGCGCGCTTCATGCTGTACATATATATATATACACAGATAGCATTATTTATTTATATATATATATGTATATATAGTATTATATTATATATATATATAATGATATAACATAATATAATACAATATAATACAATGTAATGTAATATAATA